TGGTGCGGTCCTGCGGGCAAACTTTGAGCAGCGCAGCCAGGCCAGGGGTCTGCCGGTGATGCCTGCCATCGGGTCGCTGTGACAGCCTGCTATGGCATCTCTGGTGACATCTCTTGATGGCCGTCAGAGCCTCTTTGGGCTGGGGACTGGGGAGAGGTGTAGTAAAACCCAAGTCTCTGCCTAAAGACGCCTGTGCCTGAAAGAGGAGCGGCAAAGCAAGCGTCTTGGTGCCCTTTTCATGGTGGGGTCTGGGTTGGATCACTCACTGATGCCCCTTAGGAGCCCAGGTATGATGGGAACGAGCCCCGGCGCTCCTGCATCCCGTCTCGTCTCGCGCTGGTCTCTCTCCTGCGTGCTGGGATGCTCGGGTTTGAGAGGTCCTTTTGCAATAATTGCGAGACCTCAGATGACAATATCTGCAACGCACAGTGTCGGTGCTGCTCTTCACTCTGTCTGGTTACTTACTGTTTGCATTCAACTCTATCTTGTCATTTTGCTATATCCACTTCAATTCAGTTTCTCTTGTGCTGAAAAGCATTAAAAAACTTTAATAAGGAGAAACAGATTAAATTCCCTTTACTGTTATTTTTCAAGGAGATTTTTGTTTGTCAAGACATTGTGCTTGAGGGCAACTCTATCAGAAACTGGAACTCCTGAAAATGAGTTAATTAAAAAGCCGGTGAAACTGCCTCTGTCTCTCCCTTTGGTGGAGTGTGCTGGGGACGCTGCTGCTGTCCATTTTAGAGGGATGCATTCAGTCCTGCCTTGTTAATCACTAACAGATTTGTGTTATAATTGCTAACCAGGGGAAGTCTGCCTTGGTCAAGGCAGTGACTCACTTGGATTTCATTTACCTCCTGGCTTCTCCTGGGACAATCACAAAGACTATTTTTTTCTTTTTTAACTCCAAAATGTTCTTCACTACATTCCCCCAGCTCTGGTTTTCCTCTTCTGCAGTGTGCATGTGTATTTATGCGGGTGCATCTCTCCGAGCGTTCGTGTGTGCATGGGTTCCCACATGGCTGTGGATTCACAGGAGCATCTCAGCCCCCATTTTGCACTTGCATGTGTGCTCCAGCTCCTAAGCGCACGCCTGTGCACACGTGTGCACACGTCCGTGCTTTGGGGGGGCCCAGTCCTAGTTAGCCCATCATTTTGCAGCATCATGGTCATGACTTTCATTGTAATTATAATCTCAGCCTTTGTAATTCTTCATACCTTCTGCACAGCTCTGCTGCAAGCGAGCTGCCTGTTTTATCGGTTGTAACAAGGCTGTCGCTTCAAATCCTCTCTCAGACCATTATCTCCCTTTGATGCTTTTGAAGAGCCAGCGATATGTTAATTCTACCTTGGCCCTCTCCTCTTCTCTTCTCTTTGTACAAATCCACCCTTGCCAGCCTGGCCGGCTGCCGTGGTGCTCGCAGGGGAGCTGGGCACAGCGCTCGGGCTCCGTCCCCTGGTTTTGGGGGACCTGGTGGGAGGTGGCTGCATTTAAGGCTGTGGATGCTTGTGCCACCATGGTCCCCTGTGGCTATCATCTCCTTGGGCACAGCCTGCGCCCAGAGTGGGGTACCTGTTCTGGGGGAACACATCCTCTTTGCTTTGGGAGATTTGGGGTGGGGGGAGGATGAGCAAACGGCAGGACGGGTTGGGCAAAGCGCCGGTGCGGCATCGGTGCCTGCAAGGACAGATGGAGCCCCCGAAAGATCTGCGTGGTGGTGTCCATCGCCCACTTGGCCCTGGCAGGCAGCACCAGATTGTCATCCCTGGACAGTCCTGCCTCTCGGCAGGGTACAGGCAGGGCAGGCAGAGCATCCCCTATTCCCCCATCCAGCCCATAGCCTGGGGCAGAGTTCTGCTTGGGGGGGGGTCCTGCACCACTGCCAGCGAAGAGGCTTTTCTGGGGCTGGATCCAGGGACCTGGGAGAGGATGGGTGCTATGTCATCCTGGTGCGTGCTCCGGGTCACGCTAATCAGCCCAAATTGCTTCCAGAATATTCTTGATTCCCTCCCATGGCACCTGGGGTTCAGACAAGCTCATTGCTAGTTTGATGTGGAGTGGCTGTGTGCGGTGGGGATGTAATTTATGGACTTTGTGATAAGCCTGTCCAGTCATCCTAAAATAATAAATAAAATACATACCAAGGGCTGGCACGAGATAGGATCAGTAATATCAAGGTCTGAGGAAAATTACTGAGAGTCTTCAACAGCAAAATAAAGAGCACGGAGGGGAAAAAAAAAGTCACAGAAGGAAAAAGTCAGGAGCGTCACCTTCCACCACACACTGTGTCAGGGCCCTTTGGGGACTGGGACAGACTGGTTTGGCCACAACTTTTCCCAGCCTTTTCCCAGCAGTGCTTGGAGTATTTGGCCGATCGCATTGGGGAGGCCCTTTGCAGCCATTCAAAACACAAAGGAGTTGAGGGGGGTGAGCACCCCCTCGGTGGGAAGGCAGCATATCCATGCCTCCAGGGACCAGGCACCTCTGGCCTGCCCTCCCCGGGTGGGGGGGTCTCTCGTCCCCTTCCTAGACTGGATGTACTGGTGATGAGGTGGGGAGAACCAGCTGCTAGAGGGGGCGAGTCTGGCAAGGGAAGGGGATGAAGGATTTACTCGTGTCCATTTGAAATGGGCTGTGATTTACGAAACGTCCCTCGCGCAGCCTTTCCCGGGAGGCGGCATCCGAATCTGGCCTTGGGGACTTTGGATGAAGGCTGCCGAGCAGAAGCGCAGTTATAAAACTGCTGCCCTGCGCAGCTTAACTCGAGACGTTTCCCCAGTCGAGGCACGGCATGTCAAAAACCCTTCAGGAGCTGATGCAATCCCACTCACCTCTCGGAGACAGCAAGCTGGGCTCTTGTTTCCCACAGCTCCTCTAGCCGAGGAGGAGCTTCTACCTGGGGTCAGATGCTTTGGCTTGACACAAGGCAGTGCTGCAATTTGGGCTTTGCCCCCACGTACAGCCGGGCAGGTACCGGTGCTGCCAGCTTTGCCTTGCTCCCGGCATCTTGCACCGGGAGCTCAGGCTGCAAAGAACTGCTGGTGCAGCTGGCGTGTTAATTGCTAGATAGGATGGATGGCTTCGTTTAGTACCGAAAGGCATTCTGAGGTGGTTTCTCACTTTCAAGCTCCTGGTGTTTTGGAAAAGCTTTACGTGCCCAGGATAGGCTTGGATCCTGCCGGTTGTTATCTAATAGTGCCTGGTAATCACGGCTCTGGACTTCTATTTCTGGTTCTGCCTCTGAGTCACGGTGTGCCCTTGGAAAAGACCTTTGTGCCTTCAGGCTTGTCTGCATGAAAACACTGCACTCGTTTGACTTAAATCACTTTTAAAACAGTTTTCGTTTGGTTGAGGCAAAACTTGGTTTGGGTCTACTGATGTCTTATGGAATATTAATGTGAACTGCATCTTGAATTGGAATAAGAGTATCCTGCTGACACTTGAGATGAGTCTAACAAGTGAATTTGTGTATATACATAGACTAGACCTCTATTTACCTTGTCAGCAGAAGGGTTAATACCCCAGCAGCAAATCTGCTAGTGGATTGTTAAAGTCCTTGGATAAATACTCCACGATGGTCTAATGTTATTGCAACTTCTTCCTCTGCTCCTAAAGCCCTGTGGTAGGAGACTCCTTGGCAGCCACCGGGCATTGCAGGGACTGATGGGGACTGGGAGCTTGGTGTGGGAGCTTGCTTCCTATTTGAAATAATAATAATAATAATGCAAAAAAATCATCCTCTAAGTAACAAACCAGGTTTGCAGCCACCGTGATTTTGGTGGGGAAATAAATGCTGTAAAAAAGCAAGGTGATAGGCAGGTGTGAGAAGGGAGAAAAGAGCAGTCAAGAACTTTGGTCCCAATAAAAAGACTGTTGGGACAAAAGCTGCTCTGTACTCATTTCTCCCACCCCACCCATTATCTGCACATCTCGGTGATATCAAAATGCTTCCCCTTCCAAATGCTTCCCCCTCCAGCAAGGTGGATCACGCTTCTTGTCACTAGATCTAACTTCCCTCCTGCTGCATCCTCAAACACAGTCTTGGGGTGCTGCTGCCCGGGCTGGGTGGGCATTAGGGGCCCAGCCCCGGGGTGGGATGAAGCTGCTCGCCATGCTGCTGTGCCAAGCGCATGCCCTGCTCTGAAGCCCTTCGCTTCGCCCGCAGCAGCGGGGAGCTCGCCCGTCCCCGTCCGGCAGCACGGCGTGTTGGGGATGCTCGGCCCTGGCGTGTTCTCGGTCCTCGCGTCGTCCTCTGAGGACTCGCTGGGCTCCTGCAGCCCCGTCCTGGCTGTGCGAGCCCGGTGCTGCCCTGGGAGAGGGTCTCAAGTCTCTAAGCCACGAGCCGCTCCGCTGCCCGACGGTGGGTATTGCAGTGAGCCGCAGCTCCGAGCATCCTCGGGATTTTCGGTGCAATCTCCCACTGGTGATTATCAGTGGGTGGTTTGGGAGAAGAAAGCTCCCGAGCTCTCCAGCTTGCTGGGCTGTAAGCAATGCCAGCTCCTGTCATGCACTGTAGCACATCGGCTTGACACCGGTGGAAACGCTGCGGAGAAGCAACAGAGGGAGGTAGCAGGGGCAAAGAGGGGGGATTGGAAGATACCTTTAAAAATGAAAATTATTCTGGCTTCCAGCACTGACTCCCAGGGTAGCAGTCTGATCAGCACATGCCAGGACAGTGTGGGCATCCCAGTAACTCCAGTAGTGATGCTGGGCTGCCATCCTGCTCCCCCCTTTGCTCTGCTTCAGTTACCTTGCACCCTGGTCTGCATTCAATACCCATCACCGTCCCTGCCTGCTTGCATGATACTGCTTCCCTTTCGCCAGCCCTTAGCAGCATGAAACTTAAGCAACCCATTGGGAGGGGACCTTAAGCAGAAATGAGAGCAGGTTTAATGTTGCAGTTTAAAGTCAACAATTCTCAAAAGGAAAACAAAAGTCAAACCAGAATCTTAATGGTATTTTTTGTTTTCTTTTGTTTTGTTGTTTTATTTTTTGTTAGCAACCCAACTACTGGAGCTTTAAGGTCAGTATTTCTGATTTTTCATGCTTCTGTTTGAAATGCATGCACTTTTCCACTCTTGCCTCATCTCTGTGTCTGTGTAGGGGGGGTGGGAGCTCGGGTTTTTTTCTTGAGGATTCCTGTGCCAAAGTAGTTTGTTCTCAGCTCAGCAGCAGTTTAAGCTCATGAGAAGGATCTTTTATGCTTTTGGGTCAAGTTGTGCAGCTACAAACCTGTTGTCTGAGGGTCCTGCCCTCATTTAGACCATTATCACCCCACAGTCAAATCCTGCTGCTTTAGAGTTATTTCATTGCAGAGCAGACCTTAATTCGGGGAAAAGGGCAGAAAATACCCTATTCAGGATGGGCTCCGAAGTCCACCTGCAGAACTCCATCCAGGTGCCTGCTCCCAGGCAGAGATACAAGGGTTGCTCTGATTTCCAGCCTCCTCCTTGGAGGAGGGGGAGAGCTGCTGAGCAGAGCCTGTCCCTCCAGTCGGTGACCCCGCTGAGCTTCCCATCGCGCGGCGTGTCGGTCGCTTATCTGCACTTGACTGTTTGCCCAGCACCGCTTTCCCCGTTGGGCTCCTCATCTCCCTCTCCCGAGCTCCCGGTTCCCCGGAGAGCCCAGGCTGATCCCACACTGATGGGCAGGAGATGCTCTCGGGATGTGGGGGGGGGTTGCTGGCGTCCCGCTCCCTAAAGCTGGGCTCTGCCGGCATCTTGCAGGAGGTGGGGTTGGCGGAGAAGGAGAAGGAACGGGCTTTCCAATGCAAATGCCATGCCGGACCCCAGAGACCGGCCTGTGTTTGGCATGTCGAGGGATTTTTAGACCAGACAGCAAAGTTATTTGTTCGGCTGATGGTGTCGAGCCCTGCGGGAGGGGAAGGGGCAGCTCTGTCCCACGTTGGCCATCGCATCTCTGTCTCCATCCTCTGCTCTGTCGCTTGAGCGTTACGGTACCGGCTTGTTTGTCAGGAGGCTGCTGCGGGAGCGGCAGAACGGAGAAATCGTTAGCGTTTGCTTTATTGCACCGGGATCTTTGTGCCTAAACCCACCTCTTCCAGGCTACACAAAGGGGACCCTGAGCGGAGTCTCCTGGCAGCGCGGAGGGTCTGTGCCTGCCCGGTGATTCCTGCCAGCACCTTGCAAACAGTTGCCCTATTGTCTGGCAGGGTGAAGTACGCATGTCATCGCAACTCCCCTTCCTCCCTCCTCCTCGCCCAGGGATGCGGTGGCAACACTTCAAGGTCAGGCATGTTGCTGGATGACCTTGGCGTGTTGTCCCTGGTGGGTTTGCTCTTCCTGTGGAAAAAACAGGCGCTTTCCTCGGTTGGCAGCGGAGAGCGGAGGAGTCGTAAAATGCATAATATGTGCACTTGTTCCGAGTTTTCATTCTTGAAGTACTTGCAGCATAAAACGCGTGTGAACGGCGGCTCCCCGAATGTTCAGCTGTCTGAGTTCTCACCGGCCGGTTTCAGCCACGTGCTCTCGGGGACATTCCTGGGACTGGGGGAGAAGGCACAAAAGCCTCAATTTTTTCTTTTTTTTTGTTTTGTTTTCCATTTTTTTGTGAGCAAGAAATAAAATGGGGACAAACTTTAGGGGCCCACCCACCCCAGAGGGGTCCTCCTCGGCAGCGGCAGGGGTTTTGCAGCCACAGAGGGTGCGTTTTCTGTAACTACATATTTTTCCACCCGAGCCTGGAAGTATTTTGCATCGCAAGCAGAGCATCTTCCCTGGCTGTATCAGCTGTGGAAACTCATTACGGGTTAAATCACCCTCTGCTTCCCCGCCAAGGGAGGCCCCCAGCTGCCTGACCCTGCTACCAAGTGGGGCATGAGCCAGAGGCAGCTGGGGATGGCTTGTCACGGGGAGAGCCCTGCGGGGAGGCTGATCCTGGCAAGCAGGTGCTGGGGGCTTCCTCGAGGCCACTGCAGCCACCTGCGTCCCCTGGGGTCTTCTGTAGCTGCAGGCTTGGCCTTCAGCTGGGAAAGCCGCCTCCCACCCCCCCTGCTCGCTCCCCAAAATAAAACTTTCATCAACCTTCAGGTTCCCTGTCGGCGTCCAGCTGACACCCTCCGCTGCTGGGGGTGCAGAGCCAGCCCTTTTCCATCCCTCGGCCAAAAAGGGGGGGTGGGCCGTGGCCAGAGACCCAACTGATGAGGGATGGAGGGGATCGGATGGTGGGAATGGCTGTGCCAAATTCCTAGGGACACCCAGGGACGGGCTCCCAGGGCAGGACCTGCTGTCGTCCTGCCCTGGCATGCCCCATCTGCCTGGGGACAGGCAATGGGCAGGTGCTGGCAGCGATTTGGGGCTCTCCAGGCGTGGGCTTTGGGGGGAAGGGGGGGCCCTGCATGGCTGTGTTTGTCAGGCTTAGCGCTGGAGATGGGCAGATGCTCTTGTATGTCGGTGGCGGTGCTGTCATGGCAGAGAGGGGTCCAGGAGATCGCCTTGTCCCCAAGCCGTTTCATCCTCCGCATCCCCCTCGTGTCTGCGGGTCCTGCCGCTGCCTCTGCCCTCCGCCCTGCTCCATCCTCCTGCCCCGTGCCCCAGCGCATCCCTGGGATTTCTGCACTCGCTTCTAGACTGAGCCAGCCCCGCTCAGCTCACGAACGTCCCTTCCCACCAGCTGGCTCGGGCTGTGTGCCCGCACGGAGCCATCGATCCAGCCACTCCGTGGCCATTGTCACGCTGCTGCCGGTCCCCGAGTCCCCAGGCAGATGCCCGAGTCCCTCAGCCAGGCCAGCCTGGTACCCCCTCGCCTTCCCATCACCTAAACCACATCCCAGCTCACGGCCACCATCCCTGATGTTCTGGGGTGACTCAAAACCACGTTCTGGGAATCAGCCTCTCCTGGGCAGGAGCATCTCAGCCCCATGGTTTGCAGGGCTTGGGGGCTCCAGGGACATATCCCTGGATCTGGCCGGGGAGCAAATCCCTCCCCAGGGATGCAGCGGGGAGGGGGCTTCGCTGCAGAGAGCGGGGAGGCAGTACCGAGGGCTGGGGGCTCCTGCTGTGCTAATGCAAGGGGTGGGCTGGCTCCTTGCTGTCACTTGTCAGCTGGAGGAGGAATGGGGAAAACCGAAGGCAGAGCCTCGGAAGAGCTCCTTTGGTGCCAGGACTTTAAAAGAACATCAAAGGGACTAAAGCAAAAGCTAGCGGGGAAAAAAATGACTAGGATGTGGAAGGGAGAAAGCGCGGGGGGCAGGACGCAGTTGTCTTTAAAACAAGTGTCTGGGGCCGCGTCACCCACATCGGGCTCTAATTGCACAGCTCCTGCTCCAGCAGCGGTCGATGGCTTGATCGGGGCTTCGGGCTGTGGCGGCACGGCCAGGACACGGGGCTTTCTGGGAGCCTCTCGTTTCGTTAGCAGGAGCCATTTCCATCTCACCAGCAGGCCGGGGACTCGAGGCGCTTGCCCAGCTGGTATTGTAGGCAGGCAGCAGTATTTACTTGCAGGAGACGAGCAAATACCAGGCAGGCTTAGCTCCTGTAATCCTGCTGCTCCTGCACCAGCCCTCCTCCCCGTGCCCTCCCCGTGGCCTTGGCGTCCGCCGCGTTCCTCGGGGACCGGCGTTTGCTGCGTAATATTTTATTGCTCGCGGGAAGAAGGCGTTGGGGTGTACCCGAGAGGAGAGAGCAGCTGCTGAGCGCCTGCTCCCACCTCCTCCTTGCTCTGCTTTTGGGGCACTTGCTGGTTTTCTGACCTGTCCATGCTTTCTGGTGCTCAGTTATCTGTTGATCCTGGGTGTTGTCACTATTTATTATCGCAGCAGGGATGGAGGGTAGCGTCCTTAGTGTAGGAATGGGGAAACTGAGGTGCGGTGGGACTAGGTGACTTGTTTGAGAGTACCCAGGGGAGGTGCAGCCGCACGACCTGCAGCAGTGTGTGGGCTGGTGTCCCAGATTTGGGGCTGTTTACCTGCAGCTGTTGCTGATGAAGTTGGTTTTCTTTTCTTGCACTTCAAACCAACCTCTCCGAGCCTTTTTCCCAAGAGGCACCCGCACATGTTTAACCAGAGCCCAGCCTCCCTGTATACAGCTGCTAAAGCAAATCATGCCTTAGATGCCAAAGAGCTGAGCCTTGTCACCTGTCACTGTGAAGTCCCCGTCACTAATGCTGCTAACCCGAGTGTCCCCGCCGGTTTGCAGCCTGTACCGGCTCCCCTCCCGTGGTGGCTTCAGCCCAGCAAGGGCTTGTCCCTTCTCCCCCCATCCCCTTTCTGCTGCTTTCTCACACTTGGCTTTGCTTCCCATCCGCCAGCATCCCTGAAGGATGCAGTAATTTGCTTATTTTTGGAAGATGCTGTCACACAAGGCAGCATCGCCAGAGAGCGGGGATTGAACGCGGCCGCCGCTCAGCCCCAGCGAGGAAGGGGATGGCTGGGGCGAACGTCCACGCAGGCTCGAGGTAGCAGGGGTGGAGGCAGGACAGGCACCCTCACCCCCAAAAATACCTCCTGCCACATACCTCACCATAATCCATCTCCCGGGACCACCTCAGCCTCAGGGGAGGTGCTGGACCAAGCCTGTTTCTGGACACCCCCGCCGCTTACATTTGTCCAGGGTCTCACGGCAGGGATGCTCCTCTCCCCACGGATGCCAGACTGGACATGCCTGGTTGAGTTATGGGAAAACAACTCCAGGAACAACAGGCCGGCTACCTTTGCTGGGAGGTTAATGATTATCCTCCCTGTGCAAGCCAAGGTTGCACCCGGCGCCAGGAGATGAGGATGAGTAGGCACGGCGTGTCCCCCCACCCATGGGTGGTCCCAGCTCCAGCCCTGCCCTGGGTGCCAGGACCTTCTGCTGCTCCACTGCCAGCAGGGAGACTGCTCCACCCCTGCACTTTTGGGAAGAAAGCAAGCGTTTTGGGGACTGAGCGCAGAGTCCTCAGGTGCGGTGCGGCGGGGACAGCCCTTGGAGGTGCCTTCTCCCGCGCAGGCACCCCGATCCCCTCCGCCGGGCAGGTGCTGCCGACAAACCCCGCTGATGCCGACCCTGCCGCTGCCGACCCTGC